GCAAACTGACTGAGGGTGCACTTGATTCCCTCATCAAGTCAATACGACCCTGTCAAGTCAAGTCACTGGGTACCTCACCCAAGATGTGATGAACATGGTACTCTCAAGAGGCAGAAAACGTGTACACAACCCATGGCAGTGCAGCGCACTGGGGAGGACAATAAACTTCTTTGAATGCCATGCTCGTGTCAAACACCTCTAAACTTCATCCTGACAGACTGTGCGACTGCCACGTCGTGTCTTGCACCCATGCAGTACACTGTGCCAAGTTTTTCCTGGGCACAAAGCACTCCTCTGATAGCAGCTCTTCTGGATGAACACTTACTTGGCAACAGCGTATGTAAGAGAAAACAGATGAATGTATGAACCTCCACTGATACACTTTCAAAAGCAGATACTGTGGACCTGGTTATCTTCTTATTTAAAGTATACCTTTCAAATCTGTGCATGCAATGTTGTCGCCCTTTCTAACTACCTCCCAGTTTTGCTGCTTCTCCCTTTTTGTCTGAAAAAAACCCAAAAAACAAAGAAGGGAGAGACGCTTCTCAGAGGTGCCTAGAAAAAGACAAGAAGCCACGGGCCCCAGCAAGGCAACTTCTTTTTGGCTATCAGGCAAAACCTCTGGCCCACAAGAGTGGCACAGCCATGGGACAGGCCCCAGAGAGGTGGTGGATTGCCATCTGTGGGGGACCTTCCATCTTCAGCTGGACACAGCCCCAAACAGCCAGATGAAGTTCTGGAGTGCAAACCTCAAAGCAGAGCTGCCAAGACACCTCCCAACCTAAATTTTTATGTGATTTTAAGTTTGGGAAACAAACAAACAAACAAAATCAGTGTTGGTTATGCTCCCTTTTGTATACAAAAATTGAATTAATGGTACAGATCCTCTAATCCTTTGAGATCATTCCCTTAAAATGGTGCAACCAGATACAAAACTGCTGGCTTTTCTAGAGTTGTCCTTAGAAAACTTTCTAAGTTTTCCAGAAAACCTAGAAAACCATACAGATGGTAAAGCACTCATGGTCTATGGGCTACACTGATGCTCTTCGAGGGATTCAACAGTTGCTCCTAAGCCATTTTGGGAGGTCTTTCCTTCTCTGTGGTCATTCAACCATCCAGAATCCCAAAACAGTACCTTTCAGTTTGCAGTGGTAGAGAAGCCTAAACAAAAATGGTGGCAACAGTGGCAGCAATGCAGCTCAATATTAAATTCCAATATTTCTGGATACCAAAGACATAGATTGGTTGCACAGGGAAGTTGGCTTGTTACAATTCAAAAACTTCTTTGAGACAAGAGGGCATCTGTTAGCAACATTTATAGAGAACTCCAGATGCTATCCAGAGAGTTATTAAGAAAAAAACAACAATCAAAAATCATGCAGAAGAATATTTTCCAGAAAGTTTTAAATAATTCTGAGACAAGTTTAAATTGTTGAGGCAAGTTTAAATTGTTGAGACAATGTTTAAAGTGCCACTGTTAAGAAGTATGTGTTATGGATCCATATGGATTTCACGTCTTGCTTTTACAGGACTACAAGTCAGACTCAGAAATTATATGTGGGTTGCATTTCTCTGTTTTGGGAAGTCATTCTCAATGCAAAATCCATAGTTAGCAAACTAGTGTTTGATCCATTTCTGAAAAATATGCCATATACCAAATGAATAGCCAGATGTTTATCCCTTACAAAACTGAGGTCTTTGTAACTTGTCTTGTAAATCATAACTTCTCTTAGAAATGTTAATTATGTCAAGCACTCCATATCACGTTCCATTTTCCAGTGGCTGAACTTTAACTTAGTCCTAGAACTTTTCCCATGGGAATTATTTTACCACAGACCCTTGGGAGGGCCTCCCAAAGTGCTCAGTGTTACCTTGAAACCTGTTGGAATTTTGCCATCGAAGCCAATGGGGAGACAGTGAGGACAATACTGAGCCCTTTTGGGGAGTTTTTTGAAAAGTCTAATCTTGAGACTGACTAGACACAAAGCTGCACAAAGGCAGCTCCCTTCTGACTGCAGATGTGTTGCATAGGAGAGGTCTTTCTACACGCAATACCCTGCAGTGCTGAGTCTTTGGGAACAAATTCCTGCATTACATTAATCCACAGCAGCCTGAAGACCATCACACTGCTGAAACATAAGACACAAGTTACTTTCAAGAAAAGAAACCAAAGGCAAAACTGAAGCACATATTGGTTATTGATTTTTTTATCAGAACCAAGTAGAAAGTCTAGAGAAGCTAACTGGAAAATACTCACATTCCAATAATCTTTCCCTCCGTAGTGGTCATGAAGAAGGTTTTCAGCTCTGTCTAACATCACTGACCTATTAAAAATTGTAAAACTGAGTGCAGTTCCCTTAGGAATACAATTTACATCATGATGTTTCTTTATACAGTTGCTACCACAAAGCACAGACTATGATCTATTTGCAAAAGGAGCACAGGGATAGGCTGCCAATCTAGTCTGTATAAAGCAAATTGTGACCCATAGCCTGCTGGGGAGAGAAGGGAACTATGCCACTGCGTGTACCTGCCCTCTTCCTTAATAAATGGTACTCTTAATTCTGACAGTTAAACACAAATAACCATTAACAATCCCTCCCGTAGACCTCAGAGTAGCTGCTGTTGGAGAAATAAAACTGCCAACAGCGAGAGTGATCCAAAAGGGAGAAGTGACCTATGAGATGATGCTCAGCCTCGGGGTACATGAGAGCCTCTTGGAGGAAGCAGGAGTCATGCTCACAAAAGTAAAACTAGAGAAGGTGTCTTCCAGGTGTGGAATAAAATGTCCAACAGTAAAACAACACATCAAAGAATACACAGACACTACAAAAATGTGTGTTAGCAACTAAGCACAAATTTTAGAATGAAAATTTTCCACTAACATAAAAACAGCCTGTGCTTTTCATAAATACACGCTGTTCAGGATTGTGCACTGAAAATATAACTGCACTATCCAAGTTCGAAGAAGGAAAAGAGATTTTGAGAGTTTTGAGTATCCAAGAGTATAGAGGATGTGGGCTTAGTTTGTGCTCTGAACACACTGACTAGAAGCAAACACAGAGAGAAATGCCTCTGCTGGAGGAAGTCAAAGTCATTATCTGGTCCTTCTTCTACTAAAATCAGAGGAAGCAAATAACCAGTCAACTTCAGATAATCACCACTGATAATCAGCTGGACACTTGCACATAAGGCTACAAATAACCTGGAAAACAGACTAGACTGTGCTGGTGGAGAAGCAGCATTGCATTTAACAGGAAGCTTGGAGGTGAATCAAATTAATGATCTAAATGTATCAAGAAGATTCCTATAAATGACCAGACCTGAACAGGTAGTAATACAGTACTAGGATGATACAACTGGTAGTGTGGCCAAAAGGGCAATACAGGAGATGAAAAAGGCCATGGTGCACAAGTCACCACAGCCATTGGAGATTTCAACCATCCCCAGGTAGGCTGGGCAACTGTCATAGCAGGACGTGACTAAGCAACTGCAATGTGAGACACTGTCAAAGAGCGTTCCATGAACCAACTGGGCAGGGAGTTGCTCCTGATATTGTCTTGAGCAGCAGCAAGACATGGACCAAAGTCTCACAGTGGAAGAGCTACCCTGTGACAATGGTCATCTTCAACATCCTACTGGATCAACAATAGCCAAGTACAGCTGCTGCAGTTGCAGTCAATTAAAAAAAAAGAGCAGATGGAGTGTCCAAGTTAAAAAAACAGATTCAAACTCTCTAAAGACAATGAAGAAGGTCAAAAAAGAATTTGAGCAACAAGAAATAAAGGCCTTCAATCTAATGACAAATCTTCATTCCAATACAAAGAAAAAGGAAACTAAAGGCTTAACAGATGGTAACGTCACGACAGAAACGGCTCATGCAATTTCCTGTAATCTGTGCTCGGTGGAGGAGCTGGGAAGAGCCACGTGCCAGAACTACTTTTTACAATGGAACTCATCAGAGTCTCAAACCAAAGTGCCCATAGGCTATGAACTGTGCAGTGATGGAACAGCTAGATAAAATGAACCAACAAATGGCCAACACTGGGCAGTATTTACCCAACAGTCATCAAGGAATTCAAGGATGAAGCAGCTGTGCCACTAATTCTGGTCCACAACTTCTTGCTTAAAACCACAACACAGCAAATATGATGTCAGTTTTCTAAAACCACACTTGGGGAGGCCTGGGAAGTAACAGAGTGGTAAACCTGATGTCAGTACTGCAGAACTTAATAGCAACTACTATAAAAAACACAATTAATTGATACCTAAAGTAAATTGGAGAAGTATCAACATGGACCTCTGAACCATCAGAGGAGTCTGGTGACATAAGCACACATGTGGATAAGGGAAATCTCATGGACACTGCCTACCAGGATTTCCTGACAGCCTTTGTTAAAGGTTTTTAAGAAAACAGCAATGGCACAGGAGAGAAGGTCTTTGCATGGATTAAAAAAAAGTTGAAAGACAGGGATAAACATCCAGTTCTCACTGCAGAGGGAGGTCACAAGTGGAAAGGATCTGCTTTTCACCATATTCCTAAACAACCTACAAAAGGGCATGAACTTTGGAGTGACACAACTTGCCAATAATTTTAAGTTGTTCAGAGCAGCAAAGACAATTGTGAAGAATGAGGGAAGTTTGATGACTGGCTGATCAAATGGCAGATGATACCTAATGGAGGAATGCATCTAGTAAAAAAAAAAAAATACTGGCTTCATCTGATAACTAAAGGGCTTGATGCTCAGGAATGAGGTCAGTTGGATGAAAAAGTCAAGGCAACACTCACCAGAGGTCAAAAAACCAAACTTGTATACTAGGAATTACCACAAAAAGAAGAGAGCAGAAAACAGAGCCCATCATTATACCACTGTGTAATGGGTTTACCCACACTCAGTGTGCAGGACCTGGTTGAACTGTCAAGGTTCAGAGAAAGGCAGCGAGGATGACCAAAGGCATGGAACGGCTTTCACACGAAGAACACTAATGAATGAAGCCAGGACTCTTCACTCTGCCGAGGAGACTACTGAAGGGGAACGTGATAGAGAGATGTAAAATCACACATGGCGTGGAGGTGAAAGTGGAAAAGCTGTTCACTGTCTCTTCCACTACAGGAACTCGAGCACATTAGATGAAACTTGCAGGTAGGAGTTCCAAAAGGTGGAAAAGCTGTTTGTTCACTGTCTCTTCCACTACAGGAACTCAAGCACTTTAGATGAAACTTGCAGGTAGGAGTTCCAAAAGGAGGTGGATTTTCATAGGATTCTCAGTTAAGGTGCAAAACGTTTAGGTCTTGTCTCAAGATTTTGTGGATGCTAACGGTGTGTGCAGGGGGTTCAAAGGGAAGCTGCACAGATCCATGGGCTCACTGAAGGATATAAAAGGTAGCATAATCCCTTTTGGCTCAGAAAATCACTGCAACCACAAATCTGAAGGGCGTGATAGGACTCAGGGGAGGTATTATACACACCTGCCCAGTTCTTACACTTTTCCCCAGATTTTAGCCCCTCTTGGATTTCACACACTAAACTAGATTGACTTTAACACAAACCACTAGTTTTAACATCTAACATGATGTAGCTGCCCTTACATCTCTGTTATGTTGGTACTTCTTACTCATGTCTGATTGAGAAATGTGATCTTGTGGATAAAGCACCTTGTCTGCATGTTAGGAATACTTGGGCACCACTCAACTTTTCTTTTGACCTTTCTCATCATCAGACCTTTGACAGTTGCCATGAAACAGTTAACAGTAGGGCTAAACACAGAGACCTCTATGATTTAATCCAGTTTTCTGCTGTCACTGGCAAAGATTATTGTGTAATTCCTAGAAATAAAACAACATTCCTGTTAAAAAACAGGACTTTGCATCCTCAGCTCCCAGCTGGGGTACTACAGATCCCCACTGCTCTGCTTAGGGGAACCTTAATCTCATTTCTAATTAAATCGTACTGATGTCATATTTTTGGATGTTTTTGTTCTCATGGCAAAACTGCACTTCAGCTGACATGGTTTGTGTTTCTCCCATGGATTTATTTCCCTGATGTATTCACAGACAGTGATTATTTCCTCTTCCTGTTCTCCTCTGTACCCCAGCAGCTCTTGGCTTTGCTAAGATGTTTTCAGTTGTTACAGGGTCACAGCTGACTGGCAATACTTTGCTACTGGGATAATGTAAGCGTGTTCCATCTCTCATGGAAGAGCTTTCCTTTCCTTTAATTGTCCTAGTGGCACCTCAGAGCAGAAAGATGAAACATGCTACTTGCTTTCTCTAAACTCAGCTCACACTTCTGAGGATGGACATCACAGGACATGAGGCACTGCACCTTGTGATCAGAGACATGGGCTTAGGAAACATCGATTCCACTCTGTTCATTCCCCCTTGACCCAGCGTCAAAGGGCAAAGGATGAAAAGGTAAACACACAGGGTGGCAAGGACATTTAGCTGCCCGAGGGAGAATATGAAAGAGCTCAAGGCTATTTCCTTTCAGGTTTTAGCATTACAGGATTTAACATAACTTAATAGTTAGGTGTTTCTTACAGTGCAAATTCCTTTTGTAATGATTTAATGGGTTACAATAACTCAGTGGGACATAGCTTGTAAGTTCCCCCTGCTCTTCCCATACGGTCATGGGTTTTGGGGGCATGTAACACAACAATAAATAGTAATACAAGGCAACTCACTGTGCTGAAGTGTTCTTCAAAAGGATGGGAGCTACAATAGAGGCAGATCCTTGGACAGACAAACAAGAGACATTTAGGCCCCGCGTTTCCTCATAACCCCAAAACCAGCCCCTGAAAGGGAACACAAAGTATTGGTTCACAGGCTTGTAACTTAAGTTAATGTCATATATAATGAAACAAATAAACAGTACACCCTAGAAAGATGATATATAATGTAAATAAGCCAGCCAGCTCCTTTATACTCTTTTGTGTGAAACAACTTTCTAAAATGAGATCTAATACCAATGTAACACATTATTATTGATGGGGAACCCTGAGCATCCAGAGATTCATAGACAATGCTACAACAACTGCACAAGTCTGTTTTGTTAGAGCAGGCAAATATCTCACTGAATACAACTGAAAGGACTGCGAGATGTTACCTGTAGTACTCATGTTTGTCTTTGGAGTACATAAGCTGATCAATGCACGGCCTTTCATCTATTTTTTCTTCCCATGTTCCTTCTTTCCACCCTTCTGCATAGCCTTGTAGGACATAAATCTGCTCAATAAAGGGTCCACCTGACTCTGAGCAGAAAGCAAAGCAAAACATTTGTGAGCATGAAAATCCACAAAACAAAGGTATGAACTAGCATTACTTGCACTTTAAAATCTGCCAAAAATGCTAATATTACACTACTAACTTTCTTCCCTGTTTTCTCTATTAAAAAGGAAAGGAAGTTCTGTGTGCACCAGAAAAGCTAAAAGGGTCAGGGAATGTGACAACCTGCTACTCCCAACCAACTACGTGTGATTTAATGAGCCAAACAAAAATGAATCATCATGGAAATATAAATTTAAAAGCTGGGTAAAACACACCCTGAAGCACAGAGGTTTTCAATGCTGCAGGTAGGTGCTACGGGAAGAGTGCCTCCAAGAAAACAACAAGTACAAGCCCTTTTTCCCCTAAATTTCAGGGTTTCTAAATGCTTTTTCCAGAAAGGTAGGGGGACAACGATCCCTTCAGAGCTCTTTGCAGAGGTGTGACATTTGGTGGCCTTTATTTCCTTGCATGAAAATTCTATGACACTGCTGCAGATTCTGGCATTTGATTAGCTCAACATAGCATTAAATCCTAAAGGAACCAGCTTCATTGTTTCCATATTCTTAGGGAAAGCCATTCTCTTATATATGATTTTGTACACAAAAAGCAGGGGATAATTATTTTGAGTACGTGCAGCATCGATGATGAAAAAGTAAGTTCACCAAAGAACCCGCTGTGCAGCTTTTACTGTCCAGCCACCTCCAGAAAAAGGGGGCTTGTCTGTATTTCAACAGGCTGTCTCTCTCTCTCTCTCCTTACAGGGTTGTTATTATGGCCAAATTACGCAGCAATATCTGTGACTTTAACTACAGGCACCAACTGCCTTTCTCCAGTGACCCTAAGAAATTGAGGGGACGACAATGCCACATCAAACGAGCTGCCAAATAATTGGGTTATTTCATCCTCATGGTTTTGTTACTCAGCATGATTCTTTCCCATCCCTCCTCTCGTTACCTTTACCTTTTTTATTTCACATGTAAGGATAAAACCACATAGGAGGATAAACCTGTGAAGAAACCATCTCAAATATTTAGTCAACTGTAGATTGCACGATTCCATACTCTACCTGCAAGGAACTGCTCATATTCAATGACAGGGATGTTCCTGTTGAGGCTTGGCAGGTCGAAGAACTCAGACCAAGGGATCCGGACCTGAAGGATGTCAGGGCTCTGCCAGTGATAAAGACGTCCCCAGGGAGGCAGAACTAACACCCAGTTCTGACTTTTCAGCAAGGTCTTCAGAAGGGAAGCAATGCGAATATAGACATCTCTGCGGAGGTTGAACCCTTCAGGAGGATTTACATCATACAGAAGGTACCTGGGAAGAACAAAGCAATATAATTACTTCAGGGAGCTTAATCTTTTACATCATTGGTTTTTGTTTTTTTTTTTTACCCCACAATCTTGCGATGCAACTCTGTTGGGATGGAAACTGTTCCATCCTTTCTTTGGATGAGTTTGTGGTACTCAGAAGATGGAAGGGGACATGGCAGGCCCCCTGCACAGGGACATCATCAAGGTGGCTCATACCATGAGCCTTTCCTGTGGTGGGGTGGGATGTGGGGGTCAAAGGAGTGAACCCCCTGGATGTCTTTCAAGCCCTGAGGGAAATGTGGGGTGTGGTGAGAAGGATGAAAACGGCTGGCACGTTACTCGGGCCAATTCCTGTCAGCTGAATACGAAGGCGGGAGGACACTTTCAGGAGGGGCAAGGGGAAAAAGGAGGAGGGACACAACATTGGGGAAGGGTTTAGAGGGGAAGCCATATGAGAAGCTGAAGTCACTTGGTTTGTTCAGCCTGGAGAAGAGGAGACTGAGAGGAGATCTCATCACAGTCTAGAACTTCCTCCCAAGGGGAAGAGGAGGGGCAGGCGCTGATCTCTTCTCTCTGGCCACCAACGAATGCCAGGAGCAGAGGAAATGGCAGGAAGATGTGGCAGGGGAGGGTGAGGTTGGCCATGAGGAAAAGGTTCTTGAGGCAGAGGGTGGTGGAGCACTGGCACAGGCTCCCCAGGGAGGTGCTCATGGCACCAAGCCTGACAAGATTGCAGCAGCATTTGGCCAAGGCCCTGAGGGACATGGTGTGAATGTTGGGATTGTCCTGTGCAGGGACAGGAGTTGGACTCGGTGATTCTTGTGGGTCCCTTCCAACATTCTGTGATTCTACGATTCTAAAAAGGGTGCACATCACCTGCCACGGTCACCAAATTATTTATGGTGCTGGGCGTACAGAGGTTCACACCTCAAAGCACACGTGCCAACTGCAAGGCAGCTCCTGGTTATATGATCAGGCTACATACGTATCTATTACATTTCCCAGAATCGTTGTGCATATTCAAGTCATTTCCTGCAACTTATTATCATGTTTGCATACTGACGATGCATGTGTTTTGTGCAGCTAGGGTAGTCATGAGGGATCTCTAGCGATCTTTTGGTGGTGAACATTGTTCTCGTGCATTAAGTCATAAATAATATTGTTGACTAAGAAGTTTCCTATGTCCTTGAGGAAGATAAAGATGTTCTCGTTAGTAATTATAACTCTTCTTTGCCAAGTGCTTGAGGAGGATAAGGATATTCTTGGTGGTGTCCATAACTCTTCCTATCTACTATTCACGTGGAGAGAATGACAAAAAGCCTTGAAACAATTAGTTACTAGGTTGTTCTTTGCTTATCATTATTAACAACATTCGCTCAAGGGTTGTCTCCTTCACTAATAGTTATTACATCCTGGAATTTGAACAACGTGTGCTTTAAGATTTTGTTTCCCACGTATGCATGGAAGTGAGCAGAGTTATTAGGCAAAGTTGTCACCCTTAGGAGAAAAGGCCTCTATAGACGTCTCTCTATAAACTTTACTATTGACTTTGGTTACAGTCCCCAGGCCGTGCTCAGAGCAGGAAAACCTCCGGACAGCTGCGATGGCAGCACCTTCCAGAAACAACCCAAACGGCACCAGCAGGTGATGGGGACCTTTGGGTGCCCGCAGACAGGGCAGCTCGGCATGTGCGAGAGCTGCTGTCCCCTTTGGGACACCACGGAGGAGGGTCCGGACAGGGGGGGCAGGGGGTGACCCTGGCAGGCAGGAGTGGCCCGGGGTGAGCAGGCTGGGGCGGGGGTGCTGCCCGGGCACGACCCA